TTTTTTTTTTTTTTTTTTTGAGATACGGTCTCCCTCTGTTGCCTAGGATAGAGTGCCATGACATCAGCCTAACTTACAGCAACTTCAAACTCCTGGGTTCAAGCGATAGTCCTGCCTCAGCCTCCGAAGTAGCTGGAACTATAGGCTCCCATCATGATGATCATTAATTTATCGCCACGTTTTTTTTTTTTTTTTTTTTGCAGTTTTGGCCAGGGCTGGGCTTGAACCCACTACCCTCCAGTATATGGGGTTGGCACCCTACTCCTTGAGCCACAGGCACCACCCAATTTGTGTAATTTCTTAAAGGAAATGTATAGTATACTTCCTTAATATTGAGAAAAATCGTGATGGTTCTTCTATTTAGATGAAAACAAAGATCAGTCATTACATTTTTATGAGTGTTTCAAACTTTTTACCTATTGAATCATTGTTGAACATTTATGAATCATCTCATAATCATAGTATAGTAACTGTTACTATTCAACTTTTATCAAAAGCCTAGTTGATAGAGATTGTTTGAGAGGAATATAAATTACTTTGTTACTCATCTACATCTAAGAGCAAGGAAAAGGTGTTTGTTTGGAGCACAACTGTCCTAATCTCCCTGCCACCCCAATAATAACCCTTTGGAAAATGTTCTCAAAGGGCACTGGCTTTAGCTGCTTTGTAAATGTCTCAGGGGATATAATTCATTTTCTTTTAATGTTTAAGAAGTACCAAGCCATATTTATTATGCAGTCGGGACCTGTTTATAGGTTAGTTTTTCTCTTCCTCTTCACAGTATGGTGTGATCCAATGAGTGTTAGGGCTGGATTCGTTTTAGTCTGATAAATAGTGTTAGCCTCAATTGTAGTTTGGAAAAAGTGAGCTGTTCATATCCAGTATCAGCATCCTCAGCAAGCCACAAATGACACTGTTGAGAAGAGTCTCAAGCCACTTTAGAATTGAGTTGTGACATTCATTTAGAGAGCCTGCTTTAATTGCAGGCTTTTAGTGGACTTTAATGTGGGATGTGGTTGGTGTTTTTAAACCTTGATCCAGAGTCCCTTTTGTGGTCTACTCCATGCTAGAATCTTGTGCAGTAGCACTCTGGTGATAATAATTCGGTACCCAAGCATTATGCCTGGGTGAGAGAGCATAGCTGTGAGGTAGCAGAGCCCCCGTATGCCCTGCCCACTAACCTGTGTTGGGTAACTGCTTCTTCACTGGCATGTGTTATGGGGCATCCTAAGAATTTGAGAGGTGGCACAGTCACTTGGAGCTCCGGGAACAATAGTGACACCTCTGTCAGAACTGAGGCTTATTATTTGTCTGCTCTTTCATTTCTGTTCTTTTCAAATCTGTAGTCTTATAAAGATAAAGTGAAATATTTGGCTTTAAGTCTCTTAGGAATTAAAAAGTAAAACCATGAGTTAAATCACTATGGGTTACATTGAGGCACCCCTCCCCCACAAAACCCACTCTATTCAAGGTAAATATACCCCTGCTCACCTTGATCCTCCCAGCCCAAAAGGAGAGAGAAAGAAAACGCAAGTGGGACTTAACATCATTTAAAAATATCCACTGAGGCTTAGACTGTTGGTTTTTATAAACAGGTCGTGGTCTTGTCATGCACAAGCAGTGCTGAAGATAATAAATTACAGAGATGATGAGAAGTCGTTCAGTCGTCGCATTAGTCATTTGTTCTTCCATAAAGAAAATGATTGGGGATTTTCCAATTTTATGGCCTGGAGTGTAAGTAAGAATTTGAGTCTGAATAATCTTCACATTATTATGGCTTATTCTCTCAATTCTTTGATTCTTCAAATTCTTCTATTCATTTTAGTGTCAGATTCTTGCTTTACAAATTGGACAATGTGTCTGTAACCCTACGTTTTCTCCAGTTTCCTAGCTTAGGGTTTTATCAGCTATCTGAGCTGGGCATGGTTTCATGTGGCTACAGACCCAGTTACTCAGGAGGCAGAGGCAGGAGTATTGCTTGAGCCTAGGAATTCAAGGCTATAGTGAACCTTGATCATGCCTCTGCACTTTAGCCTAGGTGATAGAGTGAGATCTTATCTCCAAAAAGTCCAGGGGCGGTTCCTGTGGCTCAGTGAGTAGGGCCTCATATACCAAGATTGGCAGGTTTGAACCTGGCCCCAGCCAAATAAAACAGCAGTGGCAACTGCAACAAAAAATAGCTGGGCATTGTGGTGGGTGCCTGTAGTCCCAGCTGCTCTGGAGGCTAATGCAAGAAAATCACTTAAGTCCAAGAGTTTGAGGTTGCTGTGAACCGGGTCTACCAAGGGCAACAAAATGAGACTGTCTCAAAAAAAAAAAAGGTCCAGCCTTTTGGATTCAAGTCTCAGCTTTTAGTTAAACATTAGAAAGCAGCTCCCGATATACTAAGTTTTCTTTAAAAGAAAAACTATTTGGGTCCTTTACGAGAATCAGGCATAATACTAGGTGATTCTGTTAACTTCACTAAGTTCAGGTTGGCTCCTTTTTGTGGTAGTGGAACGTTCTTAGGGATGCTGCTGCTTAATTACTTATCACTGCTTAATGTTATCCCTCCGGATTGAGGGTTTTGTTTTTTTGTTTTGTTTGAGACCATTTCACTATGTTGCCCTTGGTAGAGTACCATGGCATCATAGCTCATAGCTCACATTAACCTCAAACTCTCGGAGTTAAGCGATTCTCTTGCCTTAGCCCCCAAGTAGCAGGGACTACAGGTGCCCGCCATGCCTGGCTATTTTTTGTTGTTGTTGTTATAGTTGTTGTTTGGCAGGCTCGGGCTGGGTTTGAACCCACCAGCCCCAATGTATGTGGCTGGCGCCCTAGTCACTGAGCCCCAGGTGCCGAGTCCAGACTGAGTTCTTTATAACCTTCTTGCGCCCTGGTCTAATGAGCAGACATTGACTCCTCTTATCTGTATGTGACATTGAGCCCCTGGACACCTCTGCTTTTGCTGATTTTGTTTTTATGTTTTCCTTTTCCTTTTCTTTCATGAGACAGTCTCACTGTGTTGCCCTGGGTACAGGGCCATGACATTATAGCTAACAGCAACCCCAAACTCTTGGGCTCGAGCGATCCTCTTGCCTCAGCCTCCTGTGTAGCTGGGACTATAGGTACCCACCAGCATACCCAGCTCCCCCACCCCCCCCACCCCCATTAGTGATGAGATCTTGAACTCCTAAATTCAAGCAATCTATCCACGTTGGCCTCCAAGAGTGCTAGGATTACAACCGTTAGCACTGCGTACACCCTGCTTTTGCTGATTCTGTTCAGAGACTACTGCTTACTTAAACAAATTGAAATACTCCAAAATTGAAAATGTAATTGGCATGTTTTAAAAAGTGGTAGTTTATTAAGTACAGGAGACTTGCGTTATATAATTGTTTCTTTGTAAAAAAGTGTGCGTATGTCTTATACAAGTTGGTTATTTTATTTTTTTCATAGGAAGTGACTGATCCTGAGAAAGGATTTATAGATGATGACAAAGTTACTTTTGAAGTCTTTGTACAGGCAGATGCTCCCCATGGAGTTGCGTAAGTTTTTCTTGAATTGGGTGCTATTAAAAATGCCTTGGGTGCTACAGAAAAATGGGACAGAAATGTGTGTGTGGCATCTGCGCCCTTGGCACCTGTCCTTTGGGCCTACACATACATGCCTGTTTCACATTCTCTCATCTGTATGGTAGACACATGGAACATACATAACTGTAATTACGGTCAGCTAGACAGCCATGGTTCTCTGCTCTTAAAGAACATGCGGATTGCTCTCATAGAGGAGTTCAGGGCAGAACACAAATAACACAGCAAAGGTGCCTGCTATTTTGAAGTGGGCAGGCATGTAACAGTCTTCTTTGTGTATGAGGATGAGAGGGGGGAGAGTGGGCCTCCCAGCCAAGCTAGGGCTGGGCAAGGTGTCCAGGGGTGTTTCCAAGGCCATGGATCACAGTGCTGTGGACTCACTGTGTGGGAAATGTCTCTTCCATTCTGGCCATGTTTGGTGCCTGTTGTGATCATTCCTGCCTATGCATCAGAGGCGCAGGGAGATGGGGCAGGGAAGCTCTGCTTTTAGACACCATTCCTCCAGCTTCCTGTTACTGCTTCAGGACTGGGGGTGGGACACATTTAATTCATAGAATCTATTTTTCCCAGCTGACCACTAACATAGCAAAAGAAAAGCTCTAAGTTAAGAAGTCTAAAGTATAACTTCACAAACTTTGCTTGTGTACATATCTCTTTCCAGAAAAGATAGGTCTTAGCTCTTTTCCATTTCCTGCTGATCTGAGTGCTGATCATGATGAATGACAGCAGTGCCACTCACAGCAGACAGCTGCCTAGGCCATTCAAATGCTGGGGTTGTATTTGTACCAGTTCACACATTTGGGCTAGCAGAAACCAACAGGTGGTCATTGAAGGGGGCTGTGTGATAAGTACTCCTGGCTTTGGTTTCCAATGGCAAGGGCCTAGTGGTGAGAGGTGCAGGGGCCTCGATCCTGTCTGGATGGTGAAAGGGAGGTGCTGGTCTGTAACACCGAACATCAGCCATGTCCCCCACATCAAGTCTGATTGTTTGACACGTGGTGTGGAAGCAAAGAGGAATATGCACATTCACCTCAACCTTGAATTTACCTTTCAGGTGGGATTCAAAGAAGCACACGGGCTATGTTGGTTTAAAGAATCAGGGAGCAACTTGTTACATGAACAGCCTTCTACAGACACTATTTTTCACAAATCAACTACGAAAGGTATTTCTCTCCTGGGGTCTTCCCACCCACTCTTTTTCCTCTCTGGCATACTAAGGGACAAGCAAAGTCTCAGCAAACACTCCAGGCACCCTTCCCTAAGCACAGCACTACCTCCATAGACAGGTGTGGACACCTGCTGTTTATTTAAGCTGACATAGTAATCAAAAGTTTGCTCCAGCTTATATAAGTTTGCAGAGTTGTACTGGAAATAAGGGTTTTGTTATTTTAAATCATAATAGTCAGCTGGGCACCCTAACCCAGTGGTTAGAGCTCCGGCCCTGCACACCAGGGGTGGTGGCTTCAAAACCTGTCTGGGCTTGATTAAGGGGAAAAAAACATAAAAGTGATTGATTGGCAAAAACATTTGAAAAGTTTTATGTCAAACTTGAATTGAAAATTGCTATCTGTACAGCCGAATATTCACTTATTCTATATTTAATGCAACTTACTCAGAATTTTAAGAAATACATTTGATTGGTTTGAAACAGCACAGGCCAGCCACATGGTTGCCTGCGTGTGTGTAGGGCGGGGGGGGGGCATCGGCTGGCCAGTCAGCCTTACTGTAGTCTAGTTACAATATTTATCCAGATAGACCACTATGGTAGGATGGCTTCATGGGGATAGCTGATGTGGGTGATTTTGGTAGCATTTAATTTTTCATCACAGCTTTTGTTCTCAAATAATGGTAAGTTAAAAGAAAATAGTGCTCTGAGATTTATGAAATAAAAGTGGTTCTCTTTGGGTGGTGAGGTACTGGTAATTTTTAAAATTCTTTGTTTTCCAGACTGTCTCTAAAGACTTTCATGATTTTTTTTTTTTTAACGTGCTGACCTATTTGAGATAGATAAAAGCCCTCGTAGCTACCTTAGGAGCTATTGTGTTATATTAGAAAAGATACTTTTACATGAAAGTTAAATTATTTCTGAATTAATCTTTTAGGCTGTGTATATGATGCCAACAGAGGGTGATGATTCATCTAAAAGTGTCCCATTAGCATTACAAAGAGTATTCTATGAACTACAGCACAGTGATAAGCCCGTAGGAACAAAAAAGCTAACAAAGTCATTTGGGTACGTATGAGCAATCTGCCTTTCCCCATTGTGTTTTCTTCTTTTTAAAGAATGAATGAGTGAAGAATAGAAGAATTAACAGAGCATACTGTAGGCATTAAATTTAGGGAGGTTTGGGCGTGTCATCATTACAGTGTTTTTACTGCTGTATTTTGTGTCACGTTTTTTTGGATCTGAGGCACAGTTTTAAGCTTTTGCTTGAACTAATTCATTACTTGAAGTTTTTACTTTTCAACCAAAGAACTTCTGGTAAAAAATATATAACATATAACTTCTATGTTTTACTTTTTCCTATAGCACGAAAGATTATCCGAACAAGGTATAAAATAGAAATTGTGAGCATTTTGTTCTCTACTAAATTATAACCCCTGCCACCCAAAAAGAAATAGAGAATAAATGGCTGATTTTTCTGTTCAGTTTTGATATCTAAGTTGCTTTTAATTTACTCTTTTGAAATTTGAATGTTTAAATGTAGTTTGTTTTATGTTTTAAAAGGTGGGAAACTTTAGATAGCTTCATGCAACATGACGTTCAAGAGCTGTGTCGAGTGGTAAGTTTTGAGCAATACTTGTATAGTTCTTATAGTGACTGTTTTGAAGCAGTGTCAGAAGTTGTTACTAAGTTACACTTCAGACCTAATTTAAAGAATGCCCATCCCATCTTTGTTTAGGACCAAATTTAGGCTTGAAAGAAAAGGCAACGTCTATCTAGTTTTTGAAGCTAGAAAAAATAATTTGGATAAATATTAGAAGCTAAAGTGTTAGGGGAAGCTTGAATTTTAATAGTAGTAGGTAGTACGGTTTTAATTTGTTACATTGGTGTGTATATAAGAATTATTAATCAGAGAACCAGCAGATTGGCTCAGTTCGCTCTCCTGTTGGTCCTTAGTCACATTGGAGCAGTGACTTGTGTTATTTAGCTAGCAGCCAGCCCTGTCCTGTGCATAGAAGCTCTCACACAGGGAATCCTGTGTCTGTTCTGCCCCTAATCATTAGTTGCTAGCAAATTCTCATACTTCCATTTGTGATAAAAGACACACACACACACACACACACACAAAGCATGAAAAAGCTGTTCGAGGTGATTGGCTGGGCAAGGTGTGTTTTCTTTTTTGCAGCCCTAGCTGGATTGAATCCAGTTCATTAACTATCCATGGACAAACCAGTCAATCCTGTTGACAGGCTCAACCTCATTAATCTCTTGGTGTGGACCATTACGAGTTAAGTTTAGTGAACAGTTTACATGCTTTTCCACAGAGGTAAAATGAATATAAACAAATGCTTCTAAAGGCACTACAGATTACTAATTTGTCCCAGAGGCTATATAAAAGGTTAATAACCCCAACTGTTGCATGTAGATGCTTTGTAAAAATCCAACCAGGAAAGAAGATTTTGTGTATTTTTGATAGTTGCATGCCAAAGGTTATATTTTTAATAATACTCTAGAACATGTTTGACCATTGATATTTCCTAGTCATGTATAAAATTACTGTGTATTACTTAATTATAAAAATTTTTATTAAAGCCAAAAACATTCTCTTTCAGTTGCTTGATAATGTGGAAAATAAGATGAAAGGCACATGTGTAGAAGGCACCATTCCTAAATTATTCAGAGGCAAAATGGTGGTATGTGACCAATTCTAAAGGATAATTTTCAAAGATTTTAAAAGGAATTTTTTTTTACTGGTACTTAAGCTACCTCTTTTTTTTTATTCATAGTCTTATATCCAGTGTAAAGAAGTGGACTATCGGTCTGATAGAAGAGAGGATTATTATGATATCCAGCTAAGTATAAAAGGAAAGAAAAATAGTAAGTTTGTGTGTATACAGTGGCATGAACTTTTAATAATCTGTATTTCGGCTTATTAATACAAGTCATATCTTTGAAATACGTCTGAGATACGGGGAATGGCGCAAATCTTCGGTGTGTAGCTCACTGGGTGAACATAGACTTGTATCTCCCTCTCAGCTCTGGAGAACATTAGACTGGACCCTTCCCAGTAATTGCCTTCCTGTTCTCCAAGGAATCCACTTGTAGGGCTTCTGACATCTGAGGTTAATTTTTAATGTTTTAAATCAGTGGGTCTCAACCTTCCTAATGCCGCAACCCTTCAGTACAGTTCCTATGGTTCATGACCTACAGGTTGAGAACCACTGTTTAAATGTTTATTTAAATAGGATCATGAAGTAAGATATATTTGTTTCTTTGTTCTTTCTTTTTTTTGAGACAGCATCTCAATTGTCACCCTCAGTAGAGTGCTGTGATGTCACAGCTCACAGCAACCTCAGACTCTTGGGTTTAATGATTCTCTTGTCTCAACCTCCCAAGTAGATGGGGACTACAGGCACTTGCTGCAACACCCGGCTGTTTTTTT